CAGGCAGGGGCCCAGGCTGGCACAGCATATCGCCAGATGACTGGTATTGGAGATCTGTGCTCTTGTGGGCACAGGGCCTGTGGATTGCTCAGGGAAGTGTGTCTGGAGATGTGTGGGAGGGAGGACTGCTGAGGGAGAAAGTGACAGGTAAGGAATGACTTTTGGGAACTTCCACCAACCATGTTACTGTACTTGCAGGTGAATGAGGGGGCTGAGACTGGGTGGTTTACAGGAGGAAAACCAGAGAGCCTTTCGGGGCCAAGCCAATACATTCAGCCATGTGGAAGACATCAGTTGGGTTGTTGTTATCTCCCACTGCCTACTATGGCAACACAAAATCCATGGCTGGGGTCGGGGGCAGAGTCTGCGTGGCAGGGCTCAACCACTGTACCCACCAGTAAACTGGCGGGGCAGAGTGTGGATCATGACACTAACCAGCACACGAGAGGATTGGGTCTGGAGGCAGATTCTGTGGGGGCTCATAGGCTCACCCCTGTGGTCTTGCCAAACCAGCTGGTTTGCTCGAGGGCTGGTAGGTAATGACAGCCTGAGCTAGGTATGATCATAGAACTCAACCACACTCAGGGGTACTGCGGTTGGGAACAGGTCGGAGTGGTCCATGCTGTAGCACCAACAGATGCACCCAGGAATTGGGTGTGGGGTGGGCCAGGCTGCAACACCCACCAGCACACACACAAAGGCTGAGACTGGAGGGCAGACTATGCTGGGTAAGAACCTAACATCTGCGGTACGTGTGAGATCTGAGTCTTGAAGTGGGCCTGGTGGGGGAACTTCCCTGTGGGCCTTTGCTCCTGCTAGTGAGCACGAGTCAGTGCTGGGTGTCAGTCACATGCGCAGGGCCGCTTCACTTGTCAGCAGGTGTATGGGTTGGTTCAGGGGGTGTGGACTGAGGAGGGTTGTGCCAAACTATAGAACATTGATATACCTGGGAGCCATGATGGGGTCCAGGATATACCAGGCTAGGCTGAGCCATAACACCTACCAGTTTACATGGGATTGGGGCAGGCTGGGTAGGGCTAGGTTGCAGCAACCATCAGTGAGAGTTGGGGATGGAGACAGGCTGGGCCAAGCCAGAATGCAGCATCAGATAGCAAAGGCTAAGCTGTGTTATGGATTATGCTGGGTTGGGTAGGAGCAAGATCTGTGATCAGGGAGCTAAGGGGACAATCCTGCTGGGCTGCAGTTCCTGATGGTGAGCCTGAGAACCAGACTGTGGGTGGTGAACTGGGCTGGACATGGCTGAGTTTTCCTCAGCACAGATGTGAACTGGGTCTGGGTAAGCCAGACTGGGATAGGCTCTAGCACCTGCTGGTGTTCACAAGAGCCAGAGTGGGTATAGGACAGGCTGGGCTAGGTCTCTGGACCCATTGAATTATGTGAGAGTGGGTCTGCTGGTGGACCAGACAGGAATGGGCTGTAGAAGCCAATAGTAAAGCTGGAATGAGGGTGGGCCGGCCACGCAAGGCCACTGCACCTGACAGGACAGGAAGTAGTAGACCAAGTTAGGCCGGGCCAGGCATCCACCAGCAAGAGCTGGAATTGGAGGCAGGCCAGACCAGGCCAGGTTACAGCACCTGCCAACAGATGCAGGTGAGGCAGACCATGCCAATCTGGATCCACAGCACATGTGAGACATAAGAGGATGGTAAGCCAGGTGGCAGGGGGGTAGGCAGTGAGGACTGCCCTGCTGGGCCACTGCTCCCGCTGGTGAGCCTGAGAGCTGGGACTGCAGGCAGACCAGGGTAGGCAGGACTACAAAGCTCATTGGCCTTTGGTGAGCTGGTTTAGAAGGGAAGTCAGGCTTGAGAAGCTGTAAGGGTAATGGAAATGGTGGTACTGCTGTTGTAAATGCAAAATTACACTCCTGTGAAAGGAAAGTGGGTAATATTAAAACAAATAGTAACATGTTCTTTTATTCTTTGACCTTGAAATTCAACTCTACATCTACACTTAAAGAAGCACTGGCAAAGGGTTAGCATTGGGACATAATAGGTTAAGCCACCTCATGCAATGCTGGTGTTCCAAATGGGCTACTCCACTTTTGATTCAGCTCCCTGTTAACAGGCCTGAGAAAACAATGGAGGACAGCCCATGTCCTTGGGCTTTAGCTTCCTAGTTCCAGTCTAGCCCAACCCCAACCATTTCAGCCACTCCAGGAGTGAGCCAGCAGTTGGAAGATCTCTCTTTCTGCCTTTCAAATAAACAAATCTTTAGAAACAAAAGATACATTAGCAAAAAAAAAAAAAGTATTTGAAAATATCATTGAACATGTGTACTGTGAAAAGAACTATACATGGATTCTTTTATATTGTATCTTTTTTTTAATATTTATTTATTTATTTGAAAGACAGAGCGATGATGAGGGAAAGGGAGAGGGAGGGGATGTTAGCTATCTGCCATCCTCTGGTTCACTCACCAAACGGTCACACTAGCTGGAGCTCTAGAGGAGGAAGCCAGGAGCCAGAAACCACACCCTGGCCTCCTGTGTGGGTAACAGGGCCCCATGTCCCAGGGCCATCTTCTTCTGCTTTGCAGGAACATTAGCAAGGAGTTTGATCGAAAGGGCAGTAGCCACGATGTGACCCACCACTCTGACATGGGTGCCGGTGTCACGAACAGTGATTTAAGCTGCACAGTGCAGACTCTTCAAATTTTTCCTGCGCCAAAACAAGCTTATTCTAATTTTAATTACTTCTAATATTTTATATTTTAATAACAATCTAGCTTATTTTATAACTCATATATGTCATACTTTATATTTGATTATTCAAGTTTTATAAACTTATTTTAATTTCATTTCCCACAAACTTCTTGAAATACCCTTGTACATTATACATGAACACAGAACCTTTTCCTAAAACACCAACCCACCTCCGTCAGTCCTGCTGATGGTAAACTCACAGATAACCAGAGCAAACCGTACCTTTTAAAACATAATGTATTTCGACTACTCTTAGTAGTATAAGAAGCAACACATAAAAACTTAATCCTCATCAGTCACGTTAAAAATATCATGATTACTAGCAGCCAGAAGATCTGTCTTCCTTATGTCTGCAGGCAACTTGATACACTAAAAAACCCAGACTACTGTCTAGTTTGGGAAAAGGATGAGGCTAAAGATAAGCATATTTATAAAATGCTGTCTGAAGTGAATCTACAAGAAGCAGGCTCAGTTGCATCTGTGATGCAAGTTTCTTGTTAACAAATGATTTCTCAGGTGAGCACTGAATATCCCACTTGCCCTTTCATCAAAGTCCTGTCCTTCAGCTAAGTTAACAATGCTTTCTATGCTCTCCCGGCCCCCCACAAAACACCTTGTATTGCCTGCTGAAATACATTCCATTGCTTTCCTTACTGCATTGGCCAAAATTCTTTACCCTTCAGAGTTGGAATTCAGGCTTTGTTCATCATCTTGTACCGTAAATACTAAACAACAACAACAACAACAAACCCTGATGGGATCAGACACGTTTAATTTCCTTTTGATTCCTATCTGATTACTTGGGGACTTTTCCTCAGATCAGGTAGGGTGTTGCACCACGGGGACGAGCCAGGGCGGAAGCAAACGCACACTGTGTTAATCTAGATTCTGAGTGAGCCCAGACAGCCGCCCCTACAAAACGACATCCCGGACGTGTGACAGGGCGAGAGCGGCTCCGGTGAGGAGCTGGACAGGACACCCGGGGCTTGTGCAGCGTCTGCGGAGGAAGCCAAACCAGAACGGGTCTCCGAACTTGAAACCCCAAACCCAAGAAGCGCCTGCAAGCCGCCGCCTCGAGTGGGCTGCGCGTCTCTCCCACGCTCCACTCTCTCAGGAGAGGTCCTCTTGGTCGTCCCTGACTGCCTAAGCGCTAAGGCTCGAGCACCGCCATCAGCCGCCCACCTCAGGGTCCGTTCCCACAGCCCACCAAGGGCTGCGCGTTCGAGTCCTGACTGAACTTGCCTCAGCTCGCGATCCGTAGAGCCGGCTACTGCCACAGGGGACCTTCAACCTCCGCAAGGTTCGCGGGCGGGGTGGAAGGAGGATGAGGTGTCAGTTACATTTCCCCGAACCGATCGCCTAGGGCGCCAAGTCAAGTAGCCGTGTATTCGAATACACTTTATTGTGGCTACGAATGAGTCAGTGAAATCCGTGTGTTTTTTTCAGGTTTTTCAGGTGTGTCCGTCATACCCCCAGAAGCGGTTGCCTGTTGCTCCCACCTCCTGAGAACAGGCAGGTTCCTGGTCACCCGCACCGAGGTCCTGATTTTGAAAAGAGGAGCGGACCAATCAGCTGGCGGAGCGCTGTTTGGCGCTGCCGTTTAAGTCTCTCCCGGGGCTGCGGCGACCAGGGCTGCGCTGGCTCCGGCCCCGGTTCGAGAACGTGCGGCCTGCAGGCATGGGGAGGACTGCTGGGGTTCAGTGATCGCACCAGGAGCGGCGTGAGGGGCGCCGTGAGCGGGCCGATGGGCCTGTGAGACGGGGTGACGGCGGCCACCAGCCCGGGCGGGGACCGGGACTGGAAACGAGCGCCCGGGCAGCCGGCTGGTCCGGCGACTGGGCTGAGGGGGGGATACTGAGGGGACGATCCCCCGGCTGGGGCGTGCCGGGGCTGGAAGGACGAAGAGAAGGCTGTCGCTTCAGAGCCGGAGCGGGCGGAGTGAGGTTTGGTGGGAAAAGGGAACCATTGGAAGAAGGCGGAAGTGGTGCGACGCGGGGAGCAGGCGTGGGTGCTAGGATCCGTAAAGGATCAGGGCGAAGGCGAGGGAGGTCTGTGTAGGCAACTGAGAGGATCGGGTGAAGGAAGGAAGGCCGGTGCAGGTGGAGCTGAGGGTCTGAGTACGTGGAGAGAGAGGGGGTCGGCGAGAAGCGGTGGAAGGGGCCGGGAGGCGGCCGAGCGGAGCGCAAGCCTGAGAGCGTTTACAAGTTGGAAGACTTGGTGGTGGCGAGCGAGGGTCGGGAGCCGGAGCCGGCCCCGCAGTGTGGACGACGCGTCCGGGATGTGGGATCCCAGGCTGGTGAGGCTGGCCTTGCTGCAGCAGCTCCGGTCCGCCTATGGCATCAAGGTCAAGGGCGGCCGGGGGCCGTGCGATCGCAGGAGACAGGACGCGGCAGCCCCGGAAACTGGGGTGAGTTCCTGGGAAAGCGGTGGTGGGTTTTTGTTGCTGAAAAAAAAAAAAAAAAAAAACACCTGTCTGCCATCGCTGGCTTAACCTGGGCCTGCTGACATGTTCACCCTGTGTGGATCAAAAAGACTGTAAAGTTAGATGTGTCTAATTCAGCCCAGGTGATCAGCGGTTGATACAGGATGACATGCCTGGTTCTTGGTCAGGGTGTTTTTGGGGACACACAGTTGCAGGATTTTCAACCTTGGCGCTGTTGAGGTGTCGGAGTAGAGAGGAGGTGGGAATGGCCGGTGAATTGCAGCAGGAGCATCTCCCAGTTGTGACGGTTAAACACGTATCCAGGAATTGCCCAACGGATAGTATTTTGAAACGGTAGTGTGTGAGGAGAGAGAAGTACTTCAGCATTGGTTTGGAGTAAGTTTTCTAGAGGAACAAAGGGCGTTTTCTGAATGAACTTGTAGGAGAGCAGTGACAGTAGTCAAAACTGGCTCCCGATGGATGATAGCTCTAGACTCACCAATATGCAAAAAAGCAAAAATAGCCTGCTGTTACTCTAGTTCAGCGTTTTAAGACAAAGCTCTTCCTAAAAATGGACAGACTGGGGTGATTGGAAAGCTGCTGATATAGAGTTTAAATGTATGTTGCTGTTTTATATGATACTTTCCAGGATGTGGAGGCAAAATGCATAGAATTAGTTTGCATAACTTGTAATCATCAATAATTTCTTAACAAATCAGTAAATGGAAAAGCAAACAAAAGATTTGTATGAGAGTGCTTCATAAAGTTCCTGGAAGATGAAAATAAAAGAATTTTTTTACTGCAAAAATCTTGAAACTCAAGCAGACTTTTTATAGAACATGTATTTTGTGAATTTTTTTGATGACTCTTCGTGTACCCCTTAATAACATGTAAGTTCTGCAGAAATGGTTTGCAAATCAATGGCAACATGTTTGCCATGGTTTCTTTTGATGCTTTCCGGTTTCTTTGTAGGAAAGAATTTATATACTATTTTTTATTCACCCCTTAAAAATAACCCGCCCCCCTTTGGAGCCTGACCTGAGTTTGAGTCCTGTTCTTTCCTAAGTGGGACTGTGAACTTGGGCAGCTTCCTGCTCAGCTTCCTCGTGTATAAGGGGAGAATACTGATATCTTCCTGACTGAATTGTGAAGGCATCCTGGTGGTGTCTGTCACGTCCCACTTAGTCATCTAGTGACAGTTGTGGATTAGGATCTACATCTGCATAAGGATTTGTGACTGCATATATGAATAAAGGTAACTACATGTTTTTCCATACTCATGCTATAAAAATAAATCAAACATGATAAAATGCAAAAAATCCTCGTGTTACATGAATAGGACTGACAGGATAGACAATTTTAGAAAGATTTCTCTAGCTTTTTGGAGATTGTTACGTAATCAGATTTTCTGCTTTTTAAGCTCAGAATCTTTAAATAGCTTTGCAAGTGATTTTGTAATACAGAAAGCACTAAAAGTATGTTATTTTATGAAATTAGATTATAGAAGTTGCTTGAAGTCAGTTACTTAAAGTGTGATATAAGGGGAAAACCTGAAGTTGAGCCATAGACATTTTAGTTTTAGCAACAGACTTGCTTCTTGTTTGGTTGCATGAAATCAAAAAAAATTGATTTTTTTCTAGTAAATGCGTTGCTTATTCCTACATTTTTTAAAAACTAGCTCTCCTTGAACTCATAAACCACAACAAATAGTTTTTGAATGCTGCTTCGCAAACATTGTTTCACATTTCCATTTAATTATTTCTGTGTGACTTGGGATCTGTTTGACAGTGCTGAGAGACTGAGAATGTTGGCTTGATCAGGGCACTCAGCTAGAACGTGGAAGAGCCAGGAGTTAAAACCTGGGCCACTGGGCCGCACAAAGCCTGCTTTCTTAAGCATTGAACCCTTCTCCTTTTTTATCTTGGGATATAGTTGTCATCTAAATAAAGCTGGATGATTAAAACAATCTTAGTAAAATTGTATTGCTGTATTGAATCATTAACATTATTAATTTTTCTGTTGTAAGTAGAAGGTTAAATACAATTCTCTTATCATGCAGAGCAAGTGAGTCTAAGACTAATGCCTGAGACTGAGCGTGCCTACTTAATTTCTGTTTAGGCAGATGTATACAGGCTTGGTACAAATTTTCATTCTGGTATAAGAGCCATGGAGAAATCTGTGACGAATTTTTAGAAAAATCAAGTGCCAGGGGCCCAGCGCAATAGCATAGTGGCCAAAGTCCTCGCCTTGAACGCTCCGGGATCCCATATGGGCACTGGTTCTAATCCCGGCAGCCCCACATACCATCCAGCTCTCTGCTTGTGGCCTGGGAAAGCAGTCAAGGACATCCCAAAGCTTTGGGACACTGCACCTGTGTGGGAGACCTAGAAGAGGCTCCTGGCTTCGGATTGGTTCAGCTCCAACCATTGCAGCCACTTGTGGAGTGAACCACTGGATGGAAGATCTTCCTCTCTGTCCTCCTCTCTGTATATCTGACTTTCCAATAAAAATAAAATAAATCTTTTTTTAAAAAAAGAAAATCAAGTGCCAGCTCAGAGATAAGAGTCTATATTCTATTATTATTATTATTATTATTGTTAATGAAAGGTTTTAGTTACAAGGAGGGAATGGAGAGAGTGAGCTCAGTCCTCCAGTTGCCAGGCCTAGAGCAGGCCAAACCTAGCTCCTGGAACTCCATCCAGGTCTGCCACATGGGTGGTAGGGGCCCAAGTGTATAACTATTTGGTTTTAATTGATGACGCATAGTTTACTTCTCTTATCTTTGTTATTTGCTAGTGTTCTTAATTTTCTGACATTTAAAAAAATTCATATTATGCTAATGTTTTGTTATGATGATTGAATTTCTCATTCTAGGCTAAAATATTTGGAGTTCCTTTTAATGCATTGCCTCATTCTGTTGTACCAGAATATGGACTCATTCCAAGGTAAGGTGACTTTGAAGTTAGAAGGCATTTCTATCTGGCATTAGTGGGCTAAAAAAAATAGTTGGTTGACACACATTTGATTAAAACTTACCATTTTTTTTTAATGATTTATCTATTTGAATGTCAGTGCCACAGAGAGAAAAAGAGAAACAGAAAGAAATCTTTTGTCCTCTGGTTCATTCCCCCAATGGTTGCAACAGCCAGGATTGGTCCAGGCCGAGCCAGGGGTCAGAAACATTCTCTGGGCCTCCCACATGCATGACAAGGGCCTAACTAGTTGGACCATCTATTACTTTCTTCCTGGGTGCAATAGCAGGAAAATTGAAAGCAGAGCAGCAAAAGCTCAGATTGGTGTTCTGTTATGAGATGCTTTTGTAACGACGTGCAACTTAACCCACTGCTCAACAATGCCAGCCCCTTATTTCATCTCCTAACATTAGCTAAAACAGAAGGAGCTGGCTGGAGGATAAGCCACTGCTTGTGACACCAGCATCCCATATTGAAATGCTGGTTGAATCCTAGCTGTCATATGGGAAACCCAGATGGAATTCCTGGCTTCTGTCTTCTGTCTTCAACCTGGCTTATCCCCAACCCTGGCCAGCAAATGGAAGATCTCTTTGTCTCTGCCCCTTTCTCTATTACTCTGACTTTCAAAAAAATAATAAATCTTTAAAAAAACTAAAAACATTGTTTACTATAGAATCTGGATGCTGTGGATTAAGGTGCCACTCCAGCATCCCATATAGGAGTGCCAATTTGAGTCCTGGCCACTCAGCTTCTGATCCAGTTTCATGTCAATGTGCCTGAGAAAGCAGCAAAGACGGCTAAACTACTTGGGCCTCTGCCACCCATGTGGGAAGTCCAGATGGAGTTGCTTCTGCTAATATCCTAGCCTTGACTATTGTGGCTGGGAAGTGGGCCAGTAAATGAACTTTCTATTTCTCTGTATCTTGCAGTAGCCTTTCAAATAAATAAATGTATTAAAAAGTAGCTAATATAGAAAAAAAATAGCCTTTACATATTTTATGAGTTTATTTTCTAAAAAGCAGAGAGAGCTTCCATCTACTGGTTCACTCCCTAAATGTCCAGAACATAAATAGGCAGGTCTCCCTTATAGCTGAAAGGGACTTGGATATTTGAGGTTTCATCTGTTGTTTTCCAGGGTCTGCATTATCAGGAAGCAGGAATTGAGAATAGAGCTAGATATCAAACCAGGACATTCCCATGTAAGAAGGACAGGGATGGTCTTAACTCTAGACCAAATGTCTGCCCTATATTTTTTTTTAGATCATGGAATTTGCATACATTTCCAAGATTGAATTTTAAGATCAAGCAATGGATAAGTGTCAGAAATCAACTTGCTTTAGATCTACTAAATCAGACTTTTTAGTTCTATACCAACATTTTGCTACACTGCAGATTAAGGAATACTAAATTGGCAATTCAGTATTTTGATAGTTTTGCCTTAGAAATGTTAAATATTATGCTAAGATGTTGTGGTGTTTGTAAATGCATATTACATAACATTTGTGCTTCTCTAAGCAACTTACCTATAATTGACCTTTTAGACTGTCAAATACTAGTAGGGAAGTTTGTGTCTTAAGAAAATAGTTTTAAAACACATATATATAAATCGTTTAATTCACTAATGTTGTTTTCAAAGTAGGGTTCATTTTGGCTATTCTAGACCAATAATTTACATTTTACTTGATTTGTTATTCAGAAGCATGCATTGGCATTGAATCCTTTGCTGCCGATAGTTCCCCCTCCCCTCTCTCCCTTCAGTCTTAGCTATAGATTCAGTTTTATAACCAACTGCTTATCATTTTACTCTTTGGATGATGAATGAAAGACTTGATTTTCCCATGGTGAAAACCTGTGATGATTTTCAGCAATTAGAATTGCAAATAGTATCCCAAGGAATAATGACAAAAAGTTTTAATTTATCGGTCTATTTTTATAAAGAAAACCCAGAGTCTATATTTTGTCAGTTACTCTCAGCAGAGCTGACGTTCAGCCATGTGCACCGACACAGCTCTATCATTCGTTCGCAGATAGCATTCATTCTGGTTTCATGATACCAGCTATTGACTGCCTAAAAGCATGTAAACGCAGCATTAATTGAGAGTGCTGCATATATATGTATATATATACATATTTATTGGAAAAAATATATTTTTTTAATGGAAAGTCAAATTTACAGAAAGAAAGAGAAGCAGAAAGATCTTCCATCTGCTGGTTCACTCCCAAATGGCTGCAATTCCTGGAGCTGAGCCAATCTGAAACCAGGAGCCAAGAGCTTCCTCCAGGTCTTCCTCACAGGTGCAAGGTCCCGAGGCTTTGACCTATGCTCCACTGCTTTCCCAGGCCACAATCAGGAAGCTGGATCTGAAGTGAAGCAGCCAGGACACGAACTGGTGCCCATATGGGATTCCAGTGCTTGGTCAAGGGAAGGCTATCCAAATGAGCCATCACGCCAGGTCCAGATATTACTTTTCAAAAATATAGACATTGAATGCGCACTCCTTAATACAAGATAATAAAAAGATTCCAGGGAGTGGAATGTATCTTTTCTGAGGGATAATGTTGACATAAGGGGGAAGAACCCTTCTATGTCCAATAATATTTCACCCATGGAGAGTAAGTTCTCCCTTCAACAGTACATATACTAGAATTGGAATGATACAAAGGTTAGCATCGCCTCTGCACAAAGAGAAATAGTAAATAATGAAAGATCTTGAACAGAGCATTGGGTTGTTAACAGCTCAAAGAACTCTGTAAGAAGAGGTGCCGCCCAGAAAGGAGTTTGAGAAGAAACAATCTGGGAAATGGCAGAAAAACCAGAGAATAGTGAATATGTATTTTTGAAATGAGCATATTTATACCAGAAGGTTTCTTTCAGAAGTCAGGATCTGTGTGATTCATCTAAAATCAGGGTGAGGAGACATTTTTCTGTCAAGAGTCATTTAGATGTTTATATCATTCATGAGCCACAAAACAATTCCTTTAAAAACTAGCCTGCTGTAGGTTTATTGACTTTTGAGTCCCATCTCCAGTTAGCTTGGCAGGGCCAGGCTAGTGATTCCAACGGTCTTACATGGCCCACAGCTTTCCCTACCTACCCTGATCCAAAACCACTAATAAGGAGCATATTCTCGAGCAATAATTTTTCACTTCTACCATTTTGATTTGACTTTGTGGAAATAGTCATGTTTTTCAAATGCTGATAGTTCAGATAAGATGAGAACAGTGAATTAACCATGAGTTGGACAAAGCAAAGGCCCTGCTGAGCTTGAATGCTGTGTCCATGGGAGTAATGGTATTGAGCATCTTTGTTGGTGAGGGATGAGTAGAGACTTCTCTGTAGAGCAGTAAGAGACAAATGCTGTGCTGATGGAGGGCAGAGAAATGGGGTAGGGGTAAGGAGGAAGAGAGACCTAAAAGTTGACATGAATCAAAAGATGGGCCTTAAGGAATTTAACAGCAAGAAGGACAACTAAAAACCTTTTATTACAAGTATGATGTGGGTTTGTGCCATCAGGACTTCTCTAAGGGGAGTTAGTAGATGGCCTGCTTGTGTTTTGGCAGGAAAATAGGATTAAATTATATGCATATCTAGCCCTGAAAAATTTATCTTTCAGCTTTCTTGTTGAAGCTTGCACATCTTTAGAAAGGCATATTCATACAGAGGGACTCTTTAGAAAATCAGGATCTGTTATTCGGCTAAAAGCACTAAAGGTAAGCGTATTTATGACAAATGTTTAAGACTATGACATGAGTTATTGATGGAACTGAACTTATATGTGTCTCTTTCCTGCAGCAAAAAAAATCTTTTTCAGAAAAATTATATATTTGTACAAATTTGTAGTGTTTTAAAATTTTAGAGTACTTTTAGGTTCGTGGTTCTCATTTGTACCAAGTACAATATGAAATGAAATTTTTTTCGATAATATTGTTTTTCAACAAGACAGAAATGCTATGTGTAACGTGTTAAGAGAAATTTATTGAAGAAAGCTTTTTTTAAAAATGGCAGGGAGAGAGAGCAAATGAATCTACATCTGCTAATTTACTTCCAAATGGCTGCAGTGGCTAAGATTGGCTAGACAGTAGCTGGGAATGAGGCTTACTGTAGCCTCCCACGTAGTGGCAGGCACCCAGTTATTTCAGTCATTACTGGTGCCTCCTAGTGAAGTGGGGTCCAGGGCCTTGGAAAAACCCTATCTCACAGTTCACTGTCTGCACCTACTAAATGGGCTGACCACGCAAAGCGAGACCTTGGAGTTTCCAAAATAACTGAGGTGAAGGGAGTTTCCCTTCTGCTTCTCTGTTCAGATCTACGGAGGAAGAGATTGCAGGCCATCCTCCCAAACCGCTCTCATTCAAGACACCTGTCTGTCAGCACAGACACTCGGGTCCCCCGTGCTCCTCTCTGTTCGTGACTATGAGAAGGAAAAAACAGCTTTAAAAATCCTACGCCATTTACCTAAAGCCAGTATCCAGTCAGATACTCCACTGCCTTACTTCTTCATGAGGCAGTGCTTTCTGTTGGCTTTGCTTTCAATAAAGATTCTGTTAGGCTTTCACTTGTGCCCTGGCTTTTTATTTTTATACTAAGCTGAGGAAAGAGCCCATCTCTCCTCACTGATAACACTAAGGACTCATCAGCAGAAAGTTGAAGTTAATGTCTGAATTGGTTTTGAGCATAGGTACTCTGATATAAGAGAAAGTTTATTAGCCTATAATAAAGGAGTCTTACTTGCCACAGATTCTTAACCCCTTCCTCACCCCTCAATGCTCAATACTGTTGTATTTATTTCAGAATAAACTGGATCATGGTGAAGATTGTCTTTCTTCTGCACCTCCTTGTGATATTGCAGGACTTCTTAAGCAGTTTTTTAGGGAATTGCCAGAGCCCATTCTCCCAGCTGACTTGCAGTTAGCACTTTTGAAAGCTCAACAGTTAGGAACAGAGGAGAAGAATCAAGCTACGTTGTTGCTCTCCTGTCTTATTGCTGACCACACAGTTCACATATTAAGATACTTCTTTAACTTTCTCAGGAAGGTTTCTCTTAGGTAAGTGGTAATTCAGTGTCTTGGGAAATGGTAGTGTAATGTCTCAATAAGCTAAGTATTTACTCTTGTAGATAATAAATTTCATTACCTATTCCCTTACCTTATGTAATTTTAAAAACTATGCCAAATAGTTTGTTTTCTGTCTGTCTTAGAGCTACCATTGTGAATGCCACATTCAATGATAGGTGTTCTTAGGATTCTTTATCCACAGAATGCTATCTGACTACTGTATGCTTAAAATATTTGTCATTTGTTTTTAGATGCAAACCCTCTCTCTGCTGTAGCCTGAGCCCACTTGCTATGGACATGCTAGCTGCCTTTTTAAGCATTTCTGGCTTTCTTTGGATTGAGAGTTGGTTAAACATGTTCAGTTTGTGTGGAAAAGTACTGTAAATTCTATGATTAGCATGGTTTTGCGATATTTAAGTAAACAGAGGTGATGTATTTTTGATTCGTATGTGTAAGCCAGTCATATAGACACTGGGTATCTGAAGGGTAATGCTTTTGACTTGAGTATTACTAATAGAAGTAGAAAGCCTTTAAAACAAAATGTGCTAATGTATTAACTTTTTATCTAGTAAAATTTCTTTTTCCTGTGTAAGGTCCAGTGAGAATAAGATGGATAGCAGCAATCTGGCAGTAATATTTGCACCAAATCTTCTTCAGACAAGTGAAGGGCATGAAAAGATGTCTGCTAACACAGAAAAAAAGCTGCGATTACAGGCTGCAATAGTACAAACTCTTATTGATTGTGCATCTGATATTGGTAAGAAATAGTTGCATTAAGTAGCAATTTTGTTGAAATGAGAGATATCCTAAATCAATAAAAACAACTGCTAGAAAGTTAAGTTGGTAGTTTATATAAACATTTTAGGGAAGAGTAAATGAAGTATACTGATAGTCTTGTGAATATTTTCATGTAGGACGAGTACCAGATTTTATTTTGGAAAAGGTGCCAGGTATGCTGGGTATTGATGCTTTCTGTGCCACTCCCTCAGCGGAGGGAGTTGAAGAAGCTGAACTAACTCCTGGTGAATGTAAGAGAAAGCGAAGACAAAGTGTGGGAGGTAAGTTACACCTCGTGGAGGTACAGCAGTTCACTTTTATGTAAGATATGTTTGGACATAAAGAAATATAAGCTATGATTTATGCCTTTTAATGTCACATTGGAAGGATGGCCTGTATATGAAGAATTAAAATGATAACACAATCTATACCAACTGTCAGATCTTTAGTATAAGCATAAAATATGTTCAGAGGAGCAAAGTTCCCTGGGTTGTAATGATTGCAGGCTAAGATATCAAACCTAGACTTCTTAAAGAATAGATAAAATCTAAGGAAATTGGGCAGAGAGGTCAGTATCTGTATTCTACTCTAAGTGACAGTAGGGAAGAAGAATGTACAGAGGAGAAGTTATCTATATCTAGGTAAACGGAAAAAAGGTCAGTGTGGCTTGGGTAAAGGAGTATCTTAAGGATTAGAATCGTGTTATGGTGAGCTTAATGCCTCACCAAACAATTAGAATAGTAGCCTGGGTGTTGGTGAGGTATTGTTGAAGATTTATGATTTTAGTCTTGTTATAAAAATACTGGAGAAAATTATCTGATTTGAATTAGAATGGTCTGAAACCTATTGCAGTAATGTTGGTGTGAGATAAATGTTTGAACAAGTTGATGACATTGATTAGTTAGGAGTACAGAGTAATGAAGGAAATACTACAAGGAAGATTCAAAATGCCTGAAGTTTCATCATGGTAGAATTGTTATTGTAAGTTCTCATCTCTGATCAACAAGGTAGAGGATAGTCATTTTCTAGTTATCTTAGGAAAATTCTTTTCTCAGAAGTGGTCTGCTCATCCCATTACTTTTCTAATCCTGTGGTTTATGTTATTACGTTGTTGGATTTCTTCGTTGCTTCCTTGTATGGTCTTACCTTAAGGCTTCTGTCTTATTTTCCTAGGGCTTAATAACAAAAACATTGTCTCAGACATGTGCAGGCTAGCAGTCTGAGATCACAGTGTCACTGAGTCTCTGGGGACCAGCCTGTGAAGAGAACCCTTCTTTCTCGGCTTCTGGTGTTGGCCCTCACACCTTGGCGTTTTGTTGGCTTGTAGCTGTTCACTCCCTTCTCTGCTTCTATTCCATGAAATTCTCCCTATGTGTTGGCTTTGTGTTCTATTGTGTTCTGTTGTGGCAGAAAAAGTCAGGGGACATATTTGGCATGAAACTGTTCTTACTGAGTTCATGATAATTTCCTAATACCTAAGTTTAGCATATAATTTTTAGACCTGTATCATTCAGTGCTCAGTCTAATTAATTAACTATTTCACTATTGGTACTTTTGTCTTCTTATTTTTTTGTGATGCTATGTTGTCTTTGTTTTCTTACTTCTTTTGCCACATATTTTGCCTCGATTCCTACATTTCTCTTTTTCTAACTATCTTTTAGGTTGTTTTTCTATACTTGACCTTCTCACACTTTGCCCTATTTCAGATTTTTTAACACCAGTTTCTGATGTGATGACTCTCAGATCAGCTTCTCTATTCCAGACAAATGGGCTCCGGGCCTTTAGGCCTCTAACTCATCTTTATATTATTTGCTTTTTTTAAAAAAATATATTTATTTATTTATTTATTTATTTATTTATTTATTTATTTATTTATTTATTGGCAAGTCAGATATACAGAGAGGAGGAGAGACAGAGAAAGATCTTCCATCTGGATGATTCACTCCCCAAGTGAGCACAACAGCCGATGCTATGTCGGTCCCAAGCCAGGATCCAAGAACTTCTTCCAGGCACGGGTGCAGGGTCCTAAAGCTTTGGGCCGTCCTCGACTGCTTTCCCAGGCTACAAGCAGGGAGCTGGATGGGAAGTGGAGCTGCCGGGATTAGAACCAGTGCCCATATGGGATCCCAGCACGTTAAAGGGGAGGTCTTTAGCCACTAGGCCATGCCGCCGGGCGCTATATTATTTGCTTTTAACTTTGGTGGCTTCAGCTGTCTTCCCAGTTATCAAATCAGAACTCAAGGTGACTCCATCTTTTTCCATCGCTGCATCCCACTGATCACTGTGATCCTTTAATCCTTCCTCTGTTTCTGTTGCCTCTGCCTCATTTCAGATCTTTCCCATCTCTTCCCTGAACAAGTATTAATTGCCTCCTCTGTACATATTTGTATTACATTTCACTCTGTATTTTGTCTGTTTTCGTTTAAGGAAAAGAGAGTATAAATGGGGAAAAAAAAGAAAATAGATCCTTTCATATATTTCTGTTTATTATTTTGAGATAATTAATTTTTAAAGTCCTTAAATAGCTAAAAATATATAAGCAGATATAACGTTAGATATTGAAAGACCACAAATTTCAGTGTCGATTATTGCTGAGAAATAAGTATATATTAAGTTATAATTGATTATATAATAATTAAATGTGTCTTACATTTTCAGATTTTGTTAATGGGGCACTAAATAAACTTCGATCCACCAGAACACCCTCTTTTACACCTCAACCAGAAAGAATTAGTAAGTATTTATTATGCTATTCAAATGAAATTTTAGCAGTAGTCTATAAAAAACACTTGTCTTAGTTAATAGTTAAATTTAATCATATTTAATATCACCATAGGTAGAGATATTGTGCTGTGTTGTGATATTGATAATTAAAATGGATATGATGATAAGAAATGTCTTAGCCTTTTGTCATATTTCTTATATTTTGGAAGTAAAAGTAATATTTAGATCTGTTTTTGCTTTAATTTCTGAACTAGAATTTTCTTGCCCATGTTTTTAAGAATCTTGCTGCTTCTCTATTTTCATTTTAAGTGAATTGTTAATTTAGTTCTATAATATGTATTTGATCATCAAAATGTTTTATCTCCCCAGTTTTTTATTAGCTCTAAGTAATAGCTTTGTGAGAAGAAATTATATAAAACTTTGTATTTTATCAACTCTGTGGAAGAAGCAGCAAATTGACTTGATTTTGTTTTCAGCCCAGCCATCTGGGTCTCCAGTGATTCTCACTCCAAATGCTAAACGTAAATTGCCAGTAGATGCTACTCATGGCTTCTCCAGTAAAAAGAGGAAGTCCATCAAGCACAACTTTAATTTTGAACTGCTGCCAAGTAATCTCTTCAGTAGCAGCTCTACACCAGTGTCAGGTAACAAATTGAATTTATTTGGTTGGAGTATAAGTGTTAACATGAGCGTCTATTCTGCACAAAGCAATTTTTCCTATTAATGCCACTCTTTGGAGCCAGAATCTGAATTTTTTGGTTAAGCCCTTCCCTTTAAAACTACACAGTAGTGAGTGTGTGTGTGTGTGTGTGTATCTTTAGAGAGTTGGGATAAGCATCTCAGAATTTTGGACTTTTGTGGGTAGTACTGATGATCAGATTTAATGTGACTGCACGGCCTACATCTTCCTTTAATTATTTTTGGATCTGAAGCTATGGCTATTACTAAATTACTCTTGAGCCAAGATTGCTGAGTTCAATAATTTCCGAGTCCAGAGTGGAAGTTATGCCATTGGAAGTTATAGTTTTGGGAAAGAGGGTAATTTTTAAAAGTGTTGTACTGAAGTACTTTTTCCCAAATTTCTTACCAACCTAATCGTTTTCTTCCAAATTAATAAAAGTTCCTAATGTGGCCAACAAGAGCCTCCAAAAATAATGTAAGTGTTGAAATGTATTTATTTGACAGGAAGAGTTGCAGAGAAATCTTCCATCTGCTGGTTCACTATCCAGATGGCTGCAGTGGCCAGAGCTGGGCTGGTCTAAAGCCAGGACCTTTTTGCAGGTCCAAGCACTCGGGGTGTCCTGTGAGGTGCAATAACAGGGAGCTGGATTGAAAATAGGATCTACCAAGCCTTGAATGGCACTCATAGGTGACTGGCACCTCAGGTGGCTTTGCTCACTATACCACAGCGTTGGCCCTGAAAATGATATTTTGTGGTAATGTGAATACTGGATTTCTCATTAATGTGACCTTAGATCAAGTTGGATTGTGACCCAAGCTTGCTACCTAATTGCTCCTTTTCATCCCCTCCACAAGGCCTCAGGAGATTTCTGACCCTTAATCTTAGGGGCTGCTGGAGGATACAGATTCATCATATCTTCTATAGTAGCTACTCCCTGCTTTTTGGTAATGTAGGGCTTACCTCTTCTGCGTTCTGAAATCTCCCTATCTCGTCCAGTGGGTCCATTTCATGAGCTGGAGAATCTCCAATCAATACATGTCTGTGTCCCCTACATCATCTGGGAAGTTACTGGCTTCTGAAACAGCCAAGTGTATCAGCTAGTATGAGAATAATTGGAAAGAAATAAGTCGCAGGTGGAGTGCTCTTTTAGAAGGAAAGATATTGTTTCCAGAATACTGGGTGGTGGAGGATTGCCTCTGTGTAGATTATAAAACTATCTAGTTCTAAAGCTTACTGTGGTTTTCAATGAATAGACTACCATTAGAGTAGAGGTGACAGATTCCACTAATCACTGCGTAGGCTCATTCTTGTTCTGTAAGTATATATTCTAAGGCCTGCCAGTTGGCCATGACTCTTAAGACAGCATGTCTGAAGACTTGGGTACTTGCTCTACAAGTGGGCCTGAAGAGGAGGCCAAAATACATAAAGTTATGATTAGTTCCTAAAATTAGTTTCTTATGACATATCAATGACTTGTAGTATTGGAAGAACTTACCAAGGAGTTCTCCTACCAATAGCATCTTCCAGAGAGGATCAAGGGTTAGGGGGAAAAAATACATTTGCCTGGGCCTGGTACAGTGCCTAGTGACTAATTCTTCACCTTGCACAAGCCAGGATACCATGTAGGTACCGGTTCGTTTCCCAGCTGCTCCACTTTTTTTCCAACTCCCTGCTTGTGACCTGGGAAAGCGTTTGAAGACAACCCAAAGCTTTGGGACCCTGTGCCCAGGTGGGAAACCTGGAAGAAGCTCCTGGCTGCTGGCTTTGTATGGGATCAGCTTCAGCTGTTGTGGCCATTTGGAGAGTGAACCAGCGGACAGACGATCTTTCTGTATCTCCTTGTCTCTATACATCTGCTTTTCCAATAAATTATTCCCCCTAATAATAATAATAGTAATATAAAAACATTTGCCTTAAAGTGTAGCAAGCTTGATGTGGCAAAAGCAAAGTCTTTACTTATATTGCCTTATGAAGAGATTATTTGAGGTCTTCAGCTGGTTCACAGGAGTAGGAACACTAATCTTTCATGTGTACAGGTATGTTTCTCTGCTTGGTACACGAGTCAGCAGTGGAGGTATCCTAACATGTGACATGTGTTGAAGCCAGGCCACACATCTACAGGGTCTGGTCCCTGATCAGAGATGAGACCTCAGGTCTGAGGCCAGCAGTACATGAGAACATAGGTTGCTTGCAAACACAAGATGCCATCAGTGGGACCTGCCCCCAACCTGGAGTATACAGTGCAGGTCCACAGCCTGGGCACCATAGCGTCCCACCAGCTCTCAGCCCCTAGGCTCACACTTTCATGAACTTTTGAACTACCCTTAAGTGTATTCCAGACACTGTGCTGAACAGTTTGTGTACATTACAGTAATACTTAAATTCATCATTGCCGTGCATTTTAGAGTCCAAGTCGTTTAGTAAGTAGTAGGACAAACTAAGCTTTCTTTAGTTTACAGCAGTTCTCATCCTTTCCCGTGTGTTATTAAGAGTTTAAAGCAAAATTTCAACATGAAAGTGTTGTTTAAATGAGCAACTGGTCAGTCTCCCCTTTGGGATGCCCACATCTCATATTTGAGTACTTGTTGGAGTCCCACTTACTCTGTTTTTGATCCATTTTCTTGCCAGTGCAACCTGGGAGGCAGTGGATGTGGCCTAAGTGTTTAGATCCATGCCTCCTGTGAATTCTAGGCTGCCGGCTTCATCTGGCCTAGCCTGGTTATTAGGGGCATCTGGGATATGAACCAGAAAGGATGGAAGGGATGTGTGTATGTGTGTGACTGTCCTGAAAGTAGCAAAAAGGAATGATACTTCATCTAACCTCTAACTAAAATGTATAACTAAAAATTAGGAAATCAATATTTGTGGAATATGGTCTGTTTGGGGTATTTGAAAACTGGATTTTTCTAACCAGAAATTTTTTCATTTTTGTTTTTGCTTTTGGGTAGAAAGTAAGGATTTCTTTGCTGCTATTACTAACTTGCATTTGGGTAAGAAAGTAAGTATGATACGATTGTCTTTACAGTTCATTTTGACACAAGCCCAGGAGGGTCATCTCAGAGCTCACTCTCTCCTGTAACCACCAGTGGAAACCATTTGAAAAATACCAGTGTGCTAAGGCGAAGTAAAAGGATTGCAGGCAAAAGTATTTGCAGGTAATTTGTTCAGAATATTTTATTTGTATTGAATAAATACTCTGTAGTCATAAAATATTGTCTTTCATCAAGAATTGTGTTGACTCATAATTTTTAAAAGTCCTTTGTTTTCAATATGGAAATAATAGTCTTACCTACTTTCCTATAGCCCTTGAACCTTTTTACCTTAATTAATAAAAGTCCTTTGTTTTATTAACAAAACGTCCTTATCAGCCAGAAATGCTTCCTTGATTGAATCCACTTTGCTTAAAATCCTACATTGTGGTTTAATTTCTTGTTTATTTAGAAAGCTAGTAGATTCAGTTGATCTAGGCTTATAAGTGACTGAATAGCTTTTATGATAAACAGATAATATATTAAAACAAATAAAATGTGTTTCTGCACAGTACCTAAAATTTAACCAGTTTTAAACAATTTACTTGTTCGATTATTAGCAATATAACTTGTTATGGATTTTTAATTGCATTTTATGAAAATTTCTCTGTGTGCTTCAAACTGTCATGTTTAAAATTCTGTTATTTTTAGGGTGGATTCAGGAAAAGCAGGTTGCTTCTCTCCTAAAATCAGTAGGAAAGAAAAGGTTCGAAGATCTCTTCGTTTGAAATTTAGTCTGGGGAAAAATAGCAGAGATGTAGTAAGTGTCTTACTGCTGTATTAATATGTTTACAGTAGCAGAACTTCCTGTTTATTCTCCTTTCTCTAACTGTTGTCCCATTCCTCTTTATACCAAGCTCATATCTAAGTTGGTGTCTCCAGTTCCTCTTTCTCTCCGCTTTTTAAGTCAATTCTGATCAGGCCTTTGTCCCAATACTCCATTGAAACTGCTGTCATCAAGCTCACTCATGAAAACAACATTGCTCAAACCAAACATCAACTGTATTTTACTCAAATTGACCTGTCAACAATATTTATCTCTGGAGATGAATTGTTGCTCTTTGTCTATTTTGTTTCTTTGCTGGTTACTTTTTGAATTCCTTTGTCTCTCTTAGGTTCTTTGGGGCAGGATACTGCTATAAGTTCCTACTAACAATGTCCACTTCCGTCTTTGCAGTAGTACAATAGCTCAAGTTAGACCTCCAAGACCTGAATTGTTTTTAATTTTCATCTATATCTACTTCTCTAGAGTGTAAATTCCATGTGTGTAAGATTTTGTTCTGATTTTCTTTTTTTCTTTTCATTGTTTATGAGCAGGCCCTAGCAAAGTCATCCAAAAATTGTTTTAGTTAATAGATTATCATTTTAATCATAAAATATGTGATAGCCAAGTCATGCTTGTAACTTTTGTTAGCTATAAAGGATATTTGCTTCTTAGTTATTATATGTGCCTATTAAATAAACTTAATTTTGATAAGTATAAAAATTTTACTGCATTAATATTTTGTACTAACTAGATTTATTTCATAACCAAAGTGATTAATTTTTGTGTGTGTGTGCAGAATGGATTTTCTGGTGTCAACAGATATGAAATTGTTGGTCGAAGACTTGCAAATCAACAAAGTTTAAAAAATAAAATTGAATCTGTAAAAACAGGTCTGCTTTTTAGCCCAGATATTGATGAAAGATTACCGAAGAAAGGTACATTTACATTATACTGTTGATTTTTTTCCTACAAGTTCTGTTTTAAGTTTCTTTTTAAATCTAAGTAATTTTATGTGAGTCAGAGAAACTTCCAGTCTAGTGACAAACTCCCTAGATGCTGTGAACTGGGAACCAATTCACATATCCACATTAGTACAGAGATCCAAGGGCTTCATAAGCTGCTGCCCATAGTGTGCACTTAAATGAAAAACTGGAATTGGAGTCAGGACTCCAACTCACACTCTAAGCAGTAGCTGATCTATGCCAAACATAGCCCCTGGTTTTAGGTTGCTTTTCTTAATGATAAAATTGAGTGAATATTTTACTAGTGTAGAATTTTCAAATTTGCATTTAAATAGTGAAAAATATTTAAATTTCAATGCATCATATCAGTAATTGAGTAATGTTTATAAATATAAATTTGTAAATGCATTCTTATTTAAAATATTCTTTAACACAACTCTTTAGAGTGCTTAGTGTATTTTTTTGCTATGTGTTTGGAATATATTTAAAAACCAGTTCAAATGTATATTACTAAAGGCACTGAACTGCTTTTATTTTAGGTTCAAAAAAGATCAGTAAATCTGAGGAAAACTTACTAACTCCAGAGCGACTACACAGAACAAGTTATCGGATGTCTTGGACAGGGCCCAGTAGTTCAAGTTTTCAAGATATGGATACAAATGAAGATTCTCCAATAGTGGGAAGTCCTGAGGTGGAAAATTCTTTGGAGCATGATATTACAGTTGAGAAATCACCTGCTGTGTCATATGAACTCACCCTTTCCAGTTTGCGTAATTCACATAATAGTGATGTAACAGGAAGCTCTCTTAGTGGAGATGATAATAATTTGACCACGGAAACTTTGGTTAAAATTCAGAGAGCATTTTCTGAATCTGGAAGTAATCTTAATGTGCTGATAAATCACAGGCAGTCATCAATAACTAATGTGGCTGAGATAGAATTAAACGAAACATCCAATGTACCACAGGGCCCACAGGAAAATCTATTGGAAGCTAATGATTTGATTATGAGAGAATCAGAGGAGGAGCTTGAACATCCCACTGATAAAGATGAAGGTTATTTTTTGGAAAGAGACCTCTTAGCACATCAAGCTCAGAACTTTGGTAGAGAGACAGCAGTAAAGTGTTGTGCAACTCAGATCAAAGTAGAACATGAAAAAGACACTTGTTCAAATATAGCAGAAGATAATTTAAGCAAGGATGAATGCACTAGTGATGAACAAACAAAGAAACAGCAATCTCCAAAGGAAAAACTAGATACAAAGCTGGAGGAGAATGAGAGTATGACTGAAGAGAATTTACTGAAGCCCACTGCTCCCAGGGAGGAGGAGGCCAAATCTGCTTCTTTGCAACAGAGTGCATGTAATGTAACGGACTTGTCCAAGCCTGTGAGAATTGCCAGGCAGCAGTCACTGGTAGGACCCTGTAATAAAACGGTTTCTGAAAGTTTGCAAGTAACAGAGCCGGGAAGGGTTTCCGATCACATACAGTGGTTTAACAAGCTTTCATTAAATGAACCAGCTAGAACAAAAGTGAAATCACCTCTTAAGTTTCAGCGTACACCTGTCCGTCAGTCTGTCAGGAGAATTAATTCTTTGCTGGAGTATAACAGAGAACCTGTCAGACGTAAGCTGGCGAGTCATCTCAGTGATGTGGCTTCTCCTCTCGTGAAATCCGTGAGCTGTGATAGTGCTCTTCCCTCTTGTGTAAAAGATTCCTCTGCTTCGTGTGCCAAATCAGGTCCTAAGGAACAGAAGTCTACACCATGTGAGCTGTCAAATGACACAACTTCAAAATCAGGCGTGAGATCAACATCTCAGTCTTTCTCAAAAGTGAAGAGGCACCCAGATTCCATGAATCCTCCTCTTGGGTCTACCCGCGTTTGTAAACAGCAGGTGGTGGCTGGTGGCCAAATTAAAATTCCCTTGGACGATGTAACTAATCATGATACATCAAGGTCTGTTGTAAATATGGGCTTTTCTGCTGGGGCAAATAACAAGGTCCTTAGAAAATCGTCAGAAAGAGAAAGGGTCTGGTACAAAGGTTCCCCCAAAAATCCTATTGGAAAAGCTCAACTACTACCAACAAGCAAACCTGTAGACTTGTAATTAGAAAATGTTACGCCTGCCTTTAGTGTAGATAAAATTAGAAATCGATGCTATATATAACAGGATGATCTACATGTTAATTTGTGCCTTGGAATGAATGTTAAGTAATAGCTTTTCTCTGGACTATAATGTTCTGTTAAAGCAGTGATTATGCTTTACCATTTTAAAGAAAGTATTGTCTGGGTTTGTAAGGAATTAGTTTATGAAGATTACATATTTTTTATTTTTTCAATGTATGATTAGAATAATGGAACAAATTGTGTCTGTTTCCTGTTTCTTCCACATCAATTAAGTTCTGCAGAGAAAGGTTAGCATGAAAAGGGAAGAGAAAAGCTCTAAAGATATTAGGTCTTGAATTTTATTAGTGTTTATTGTCTACCAAAATTTTTGTAAATTATTGATTTACTTGAACAGCATCTGAATATTTTACTATTTGATTTTGATTGCCTGTTCGCTGGAATTAAGAACAAATGGATAAGGCAGAATAATAACTAGTGTGCTTGTGCTATGATGCAGAAGCAGTTGATGATTTTTAAGCCATATTTGGTTTTTAAACATAATTTGCACAAATAAGTTGGTACCTGTTTAATCCAACCTAGAATTGGAATATTTAATATGGATAATTAAACTTGAAAGTATTTGATAAAGGTAATTTCTTAATATTCAGGATGCTTGATCTTTAGATTTGAAAAAGCTGATACACCTTCTGTATATTTTTCTTGGGATAAAAAACCTTTGATTGTTTTGTCTTATGTGTATGTGTTATTTATTTAGTGTAGACAATAAAGCTAACTTTCTGGAAAAAAAAAAACTTGGCCTGAGACTATGTTAAAATCTGAAGCGCTTGTTGTACCAAGTTGTTGCTCAAATCTGTCTACATTTATAATGTATGTTACTAGAAATGACAAATCTTTAAGAAAACAGTATCAGAGGAAGGAATAAATGTACAGAATCAGCCAACCATGATGACAGTTTTGTGGCTTGATGGTTGTTTATGTTTGGATGTTGTGTTGGAGCGGAACAGCAGTGCTGCAAATACTGGAGCAATCAGACACTTGCTTTACTGTGTTGATGCTTATGATTTTACTGAGAGCAAGTGGAGACAAAATATTTGTATATGTTGTCTGTAGTATAGCAATTTTTTAGGCTTCTGATTTTTAAAAATGCATTGTCATTTTATAGTCATGGAGGGAAGTATGAAATGCTGAATTGAAATACTAGAATTCTGTAAGGTGTAGGAGGCTCGAAAATATGGTTTTCTTGGAGCATGAGTCGATAACAGGAAATGTCTAGTTTTTAAAAAATAGCCATGTGCCACTCCCATTTTTATTAGCTAAAGGCTGTAATGGAGAAGAAAACATGAGTAGTTTGGAGGGATATAATTGGAATGAATCAGAGAAACTCAGTTTCAGACTTGATTTAATTGTATTAGCTTTTTTTTTTTCTTAATGTTATTAAAGGCTTATTTATTTTTGTGGCAAAGTCAGATTTACAGAGAGGAGAGACAGAGAAAGGACTTTTGTCCACTTGCTCACTCTCTTTAACTGGCAGCAACAGCCAAAGCTAAGCTCTGTTAAGTTGTCCAGGAACCAGGAGCTTTCTCCAGGTCTCCCACATGGGTGCAGGGTCCCAAGGCTTTGGACCATCCTCTGTTGCTTTCCCAGGCAAGCAGGGAGCTGGATGGGAAGTGGAGCAGCTGTAATACGAACCGGCACCCATGTGGGATCCTGGCATGTGCAAGGTGAGGACTTTAGCCACTAGGCTACTGTGCCAGGCCTATCTTTTAAATTTTTTTCCAATCTTTTTATTTAAAAGGTAGGAAAGGCAGGAGATTTGTCCTGTGTTGAATGACTCCCCATGGGCCCTGCCCTTTTGGCCAAGCAAAAACCCAGAGTCTGGAAGTCTGTCCAGGTATCCCACACTGGTGGCAGGATCCCATGTGCTTGAGCAAAGTTTTGCTGCCTTTCAGGATACACATTACAGGGAGCTGGATTGGAACCTGGGATCAAACAAGGCATTCTTGGGGATGCATATGTCCTGAACAGTGACTTGCCAGCTGTGCCAAATGCTTACTCCTGATTTCTTATATAACAAAGAGATAAGAAGTTTTCAAGTTATTAAGTAAGCCACATGCTATTTGAACAAATAACATCAGAAATATCTGCACTTGTACAGTCATTTTAAGTATTCTTTTCACTATCTCGCAAGTGGTTAAATAGAGATCTAATGTTTTGATTATTGAGGACAACAAAATACATGCAATAAGTACATCAGTTGCTCAACAGCATTGTATCATCACCAAAAATTTAGTATAAGGTTTTCATAATGAAGGGCAGGATACATGTGGTATTTTGGAAATAATACAGTTCTTTTTTTTTTTTTTTCTTATAAAGATTTATTATTGTTGGAAAGTCAGATATACAGAAAAGAGGAGGGTCCTCTGTCTGCTGATTCACTCCTCAAGTGGCTTCAACGTCTGGCTGGACTTGAACCAGTCTGAAGCCAGGAGCTTGTTCAGGGTCTCCCACACAGGTGCAGTGTCCCAAGGCCTTGGACCATCCTAGATTGCCTTCCCAGGCCACAAGCAGGGAGCTGGATTGGAAGCAGGGCCCATATGGGATCCCAGCACATACAAGATGAGGACTTTAGCCACTAGGCTACCACACTGGGCCTGGAAATGGTAAATTTCAGAGCATAGACAATTTGGTGTATTTGGACAGTCTATTTGATACAAAAAAAGCATATTGATTTTCATTTTTCTAAGCACAAGAACAGTACTAAAGTAAAGCTAGAGGACCTGACACAATGGCTCAAGTAGCTAACCTCCCCTTGCCAGTGCCAGGATGCCATATGGCCACAGGTTGATTTCCCCTGCTGCTCCACTTATCCAACTCCCTGCTTGTGGCCTGGGAAGGCAGTGGAGGATGGCCCAAGTCCTTGGAATCCTGCACCCGCATGGGAAACCCAGAACAAGCTCCTGGCTCCTGACTTCAGATCAGCTCGTCTTTGACCATTATGGCCACTTGGGGAGTGAACCAGCAGATGGAAGTTTTCTGTCCTGCTCTGTAAATCTACCTTCCCAATGAAAATAAATCTAAAAAAGAAACCTAAAAGCAATATGCATCAATATGGAAAAACTACAGCAGTCATTGAGCTTAGAGCCCATATGTATTTTGAATCTTGTAGATTTAGCATGCATTGAAGTAAGCAAAGAAAAATAAGAGCAACAATGGATGAAAAAAAGCCAGGAAGGAGGCTTGTTTTCAAAGCAAGACCTTGTACCTTGTGAATGAATTTTGTTAGCCTCTATTAACTGAATAAAATTGCTGCAGGTGATAAGGGTTTTGTAAGATCTGAGTTCCAATCACTGGATTACTTATTCTCAGACCCCCTAGTTTTAATGTTAGCTATCTTATTTACTCATCCCTTGTCTTGATGGAGGAATTTTTCAATTCTGTGTTGTATGGCTTTACGTTCCATTTTGGACAAATCTCAGTTGCTCGCAGTAGGTGCTCTGCAAGTCACTTGACGAAAGTGGTCTGTAGGGATGTATTGCTGTGATGTCTGGGAATGTGATTCCTGGCCTAAGTGCAATTTTACTTAATAGTTACAAGACTTTGGAAAGAACATAGCTAATGGTCATAGAGATCTTCCAACAGCCCGTATTAAATATTCCCTCCCTCCCCACTCCAGTTTTCCTGCTCAAAAAAGAGTCCCTGGAAGTGATGTTCGCCACCATTTAAAGTTCCTATGATTTTATCTTCGTTGCCACTATTGCCTCTTTCTTCCCTCTGAGGGATTTCAAAAAAACTATCTTAAAAGTGGCAAAATTAAAGATGTGGTGAAAAAATTAGAGCGGCTGTTTAGTACCATGTTTATATAATTGCTTGAAATTGGGGAAACAAATGAAAACGAAGCTCTCTAAGAGGTTTCCTGGTCAAGATCCGTGTGCTCAGAAGGCGCGGCCTGAAGCATCCCTGGCGAGAAACCCGCGACAGGGCTGAGTTCTGGGGAGCCCAGGCCGCGTCCACCTGCTGGAGGAGGGGCCGGGGCGGAGCCAAGATGCGCTGGGAGGTGACGCACACACTTTGGAGCTCGCCAGGCTCCCGGCCGACCCCAACCAAGGCCCACACCGCAGGAGGCTTCCCGGGCTTCCCCTCGGTGAGTACAGTGCCGGTGACTCAGTCTCCTATCGCTCTCTCCCAGAAATACGGGGGTCCATCGGGAACGGGTGTCCTTGAGCTGGAAGCCGGGGTCAGACACAGTGGGAGGGGGATAAGGGAGTTGCCAATAAATAGGGAAGGGAGAACCGAAGAAGGAGATTGGACACATCATCCTGTCGCAGCGTCTTTAAGCGGGGGTGAAAAGAGAACATCACCTACATTCAGAGCGATTGGGAAGATCGAGAATGAGGAGGCTGGTGTTTGGCTTTCCATCAGAATGGCAGCCACGGCTGTTCTCAGCTCTGCCGCGCTTAGAGGGTGGCGAGAGAAAGCCTTTCCTTCGCAGAATAAGAAATCAGAGGGTATGAATGTTTTAGTTTCAGGAAAGAACATGCCTGGCTCTACTTGTAAGACTGCCCTGACCCGACTCCTGGGAATACACTAGCCAAAGGAGGATTTGCTTGTCCGCTGTCTGCAGCATCCATCCTAAATCTGCAAGGGAAGCTGCAGGAATAATGTTTCCTTGTTTTGCCTGCGTAACTGCCAACGTGTAAGAATGGCTGACTCCCCAGATGCGCTTCTTTTACCTGATTCACCTGATCTTCCGTCGCTACCGCCTCCTTGAAACTGGAACCTCTAGGAGTGGGAGGCAATATTACCAGCACGATAATAGCGACCTGGGGTGGAGGGGCTCACTCTGTGCCCTGAGTCGTCCTTAGTCCTCCTACCTGCATTTGCATGCGTCCTCGCAGCCACGCTCCCTAATGCAGAGGCATCGTCTCCTTTTGGCACCAGAGGAAGCTGAGGACCTTGCCCGAGATCCCCCAGGGTGGTGTGTGGCTGAGCAAGCACACCCACATCTACCCTAGTAGATTGCTGGTCAGGAATCTCAAATGCACTAGATGTTTGCCGGCTGAAATGTTGCCGGGCGCCACTCCCAGTCTTTCCGTGCTTCTTGATCATCTGCATGTAGCTAACTCCTTCTTAGCCTTCCCCCCAACACCCCCCCACCCCTCAGCCCCGAACTGGAGAACTAAATGTATCATTGCCTCTCTTTCTCAAAATCGCAAGTTTTTTTTGATTTGTCTTAATAAACCCAGGGGAAAGTGGTAATGCTGGACTTTCCAGGAGCTGCAAAAGGGGCAAAATATTTGGATGAGAACTGCTATTTTGGCCTGGCTTTCCCAAGTGTATGTTCAGAGGGAACTGCATACCACCTACTGTTTTATTTTTTTTTTTAATGTTTCTTTAACACTGGGATGTCCTTCCTGACAGGGACATTTAATGCAAACACCCCTGAGGATTTCCTACTGTACCTTCGTTCTGGGTGGTCTTCAAACTGCAACCTGCAGTGGTTATGTCTGCAACAGCACAGTTACCAATGGTGCCCATTCAATAGAAGCTTTATCTCTTCTTACAGGTTGAAAATGGTGTCCAGGGTGGTTTCTACCACTATGCTGTTTTGGCTGGCCTTGGGGTGGACTCCAGTATTTGCTTACAGCCCACGGACACCTGACCGGGTCTCAGAAACAGACATCCAGAGGCTGCTCCACGGTGTTATGGAGCAGCTAGGTATTGCCAGGCCACGGGTGGAATATCCAGCTCACCAGGCCATGAACCTTGTGGGTCCACAGAGCATTGAAGGTATTTACTGTGTTCTGGTGGCTTGAAGCATCCATTAGTGTCTGAGATAATGCATTTTTGTGAGAGTTTCTGTTTCCCTTTTTGACTACACAGTGTACATACATATGCCCACATGAAAATATAGGCCTGTGAGAGGAAGGATCTTCATCTAATTCATAGCTATAGCCCTAGCACAGACTCTGGTTACATAATAAATGCTCAGTTCATATTATAAAAATATCTCTTTTTACCTATTAGAGATAGACGAGGCTCTCCCATCCTGTGTTCTTCCCCAGTTGCAACAGCCAGGACCAGGCCAAAACCAGGTTCCATGAGCTCCGTCAGGGTCTCCCACATGGACCAAAGCACTTGAATCATCATTCACTGTGTCCCAGGATGTATTAGGAGGAAGCTGGATCCAAAGCAGAGCAGCTAGGATTTGACCTGGCACTCTGATATGGGCTGGTAGCTCAACCTGCTGTGCCAAAATGCCCACTCTGCCTGTGAATAGTTATTGAATGAGTGAAGCAGCATCTAGTTCTGTCCTCTAAGACTGGAATCCAACTCCATGTGCTTTTCCACCACTCATCTCGAGGGAATTTTATTCCCAGATAGCTGCCTTTCAAGAGCTGACGTCAACTGTACTTGTAAGAGATCCTTAAAATTTAGGACCTGCAGGATCAGATTTGATTGTTCGGAATAACTCCAATATCTCCAAGAGGATCTAAAACATAGGAGTGACCATATTAAAACTGTCAAAAATATAATCATCTTATTGACTAATAAATTAAGAAGGGTTAAATTATTCTAGGGTGGTAAGACACTTGCCCCCTATATTTCCTGTTTTCCTGTGTTTCTGACAGTGTGGTTATAATCCTTTTGAGAGAAAGCAGTACCTCACATGTTTGTTTAATAATGCCTTTATAAAGTGATATAGCTCCTGTGAACCAGAGATACAGCATCAGACAGATGCCCCATTTCTGCCTTCTTTGCTGTGCTCTCTGATGTTGCATGGTCTTCTCCGGGGGCTGGAATCCTTAGCCAGAATCATGGACAAGTCAGGTTAAATGCAAGGGAGTATGTTCTTACAGTTTCAGTGTTTGTCCAAAGGAGTGAGTGCTTGGGCAAAACATGAATTATCTCTAAATTTTCTCAAAACAAGCACCCAGGATATATGATTCTCAAAATGGAATGATTATGCATAATTTTGCCTGAGTCTGTGATAGTGGAAAAAAATGATATCTGTCCCATGGTTCTGGGAATGCTGTGAGTATTGCTGATACCAGATTCTCATTGCTACCTTGTGACGCAAAACTCTAAGTCATTGAGTAAAATGAACTGGGTGAAGTTGTTGTCTTGAATGGTTAACATTTGATCTGCAGGAAAGGATTAGCTCAAACATTTCCAATCAGCAAACATGCAAACCCAGCATAAGGTCTTAAAATTAGACCCAATCCAACAGGGTTTCCTACCATCTCTTGAGAGAACCTAAACCCTCAACATCTGCCACCTGTTTCTTCAAACAAACAACCTATTTCAGGTCAACTCTTTTGAGACTGTAAATAGCTGCCCTTTTAACATGGAAAGTGTTGGCTTAGTCACCCAGCTGTTGCCATGGAGAAGGTTTTCCAAGTTTCCTCGTCAGCTGTGCTCCAAAAACAAATAACAGCCTTTTCCTGGGTACCAAAAGCTGATGTTTATCTAGGACCTTGTTTTATTCCCTCAGTGTCCAACTACTAAGCACCCGCCATGTACCAGACACTGTACAGGAGCCTGGGGCAGCTCTGCCCTGGCAGACACAAAGTCTGCAGAGCAGACACACATAGAAAGGGTGATTGCAGTGCCTCTTGGAGAGGTTTATGGCAAATGTACAAGCAAGCTGCTGCCATGGCAGCAAAGAGCAGGACTGAGGTGCAGCAACAGATGGGCAGATCTAGGAAACAGTTCCTTGAAGAAGCAATGTTCGACCTAGATTTTGAAGTTAAATAGGAATTCATCAGGAAAACCACAAGTGAAGACAAGAAGGTAAGGGAGTACCTGGAGCAGGACAATTCACAGCAGAAAACTCAGCTTCTATAATCACTCTTTTGTGTGTGTGTGTGTGTTTTTAAGATGTATTTATTTTTTATTTGAAAGAAGAGTTACAGTGAGAGAAGACAAGACAGAGAGAATCTTCCATCCATTTGTTCACTCCCTAAATGGCCACAGCGGCCAGAGCTGAGCCAATCTGAAACCAGGAGCCAGGAGCTTCTTCCAGGTCCCCCATGTGGGTGCAGTGTCCCAAAGTCTTGAACCATCCTTTCCTTTGCTCCTTACCCAGGTCATTAGAAAATAGCTGAATTGAAAGTGGAGCAGCCAGGTACCCATATGGGATGCCGGCCCTGTAGATGGAGGCTTAGTGTGCTAAGTCACAGACACCATCCCTCACCACCCCCAGGAAATTACTTTTGAAGCAGTGTTCTATTATTGCACTCAGAAGCCTCCCCTCTCAGGGACTGAATGAGAGAGGAATATTGATTGACTTGTGCTTTATCTTTCTATTACTATGTAAGCAACAACCAAAAATCCAGCAACTTAACACATTTATTTATCTCCATTTCTGCTGGACAAACATTTGATCTGGCTTAGCTGCCTTCTGTGTTCAGGGTCTCAGCGAGTTGCCGTCAGAAGTTAGACAAAAATGCATCCTCAGCTGGAGCATGGTATCCTTTCCAGCTCCAAAAGCTGTTGGCAGATTTTGGGTTGCTGAAGCTGTGAAATTGAAGTTGACTTCTCCTGGCTGCCGGGGGCCCTGTCAGCGGGACCCCTTTCAATTCTCACCCACGTGTCCACTTACAGCATGGCAACTCACTTCTCTGAAGCCACATTCTTTCAAAGAGAGACCATCCCTTTAGTCTGGTGATTGTAATGTCAGAAAGTCACGGGCATTCTATCCCAACAAGATGGCCCATTCCTGTCACCACTCTGTCCCATCCTCAAAGGCAGATGGTGACCGGGGGACTCAACAGGCAGGAATCTGGAAGGTTATTTAGAATTTGCGTATTGCCACTTGGATAACAGCTTAACAGAGAGCAAGTAGTCCAATAGATCCTTGAGGTGGGAGAAAAAAAGATCAAGCCTGAATTTTTACTAGTTTTAGAAATTGTCCTTGAATTGACTGCATGGTCTGATCCTTATTCATGTGAGGGTAGCAAATGTTCAACCTATCTTTTTATTTGCTTTGTCTCTGCTCAGATAATTACTCCTGCTAGTTCTAGCATATGTGTAGCATTCCCCACGCCTTTGCCCACGTGTCTTTTAGAATTTTCTTATAAACATAGTAGATGGAAAATGTCTTCTAATTTTTGTGCAATATACACAATATGGTGTTTTCCGGGATGGGATTTTGACACACATTTAACCTGGTCATTATGGGCATAAACTGTTATTAACAGTACCCATATTTGAATGCCAACTCTAACATTTATTAATGATGTGACCTTACACAAATTACTTTTCCAAGTTTCTGCTTAGCTTGTGGTTAGGATTTAGGTTTACTTGCCTGCAAACAGGTGATATTGCAATTCAGAGAAGCAAAAATGAAGTTTTGGCACTAATGTGAGCTTATTTCTCCTGGGATCCCAACACTTGGGATCCATATGGGATCCCAATGCTTACAAGGAGAGGATTAGCTACTTGAGCCATCATGCTGGACCCCATGAACTCATTTCTAAGTGAGTCACCATTAGCACCACTTAACATTGTCTCTGGAGACTCAGTCCCTTGTAGTCAGGGCTGTTCATCACCTATACAAAACACACAGAAGACAGACAGCTGTCCTTTTTGGTCTACTCTAACTGCGTGATTTTGAAATTTTTATTAATGTCCTTGAAGGCATATATAATCTCAAATAAAAGATTGTATACTAGTTTATGATTTGGGTTCACTCTGAGTTACTGTCAAATCAGTGTAGGCATATATTAAAATCTCTTTGATCACATATCCTTCATGATTATTGTGCCATTCTATTTCCTTTTACAGCAAGAATAGGTTTTTAAAGAAGGAAATGCCACCGTATGTGAATTGCTGTTAAGAGGTTGAGTAGGTGGCCTGGCACAGTAACCTAGTGGCTGAAGTCCTCGCCTTTTGCATGCCGCGATTACATATGGGTGCTAGTTAGTGTCCTGTCTACTCTACTTTTCATTCAGCTCCCAGAGTGTTGCCTGGGAAAGCAGTAGAGGATGGACCAAAGCCTTGGAACCTTGCACCCACATGGGAGATCTGGAAGAAACCCTGGTTTCTAGCTTCGGATCAGCTCAGCTCTGGCATTGGGACCACTTGGGGAGTGAAACAATGGATGGAAGAACTTTCTGTCTCTGCCTCTCTCTGTAACTCAGCCTTTCAAATAAAAGTAAATAAGTCTTTTAAAAAAGAGAGATTGAGTAGAATGCAGGTATTAGATTTGCCTACTTCCTATGAAAAGAAAACATCAACCAGTTATAAAAAGATGCAGAGACTTTTATTTGAGATCTGCCCCATGCAGTGGGAAAGAGGAGAAGGGAGAGAGATCTGGGAAGCTGCGGGGGAACAAAGGCAGGCAGAGGGATGTGCGGCAAGGTTTTATACCCCTTCCAACATGGAAGCTGGCACAGACTCTGTTTAAGTCCTAATTAGTAAGGAATGTCAGCCAGGCTCATCACATCATTGGCCAGCTGGAGCCCTGCTGGTTCGATGCCGTGTCTGGCTCTTCTGGTCCTTTCTGGTTCCAGGCTGAGGCCGGGATGATGGGTTGGGTCTGAAGTAAGCCCAGCCCCACTCCTGCACCTGTGGAAGCCATTAGCAGGTAGAGAGTACAAGGTAGATGAATTTATCCCAGAGGTTGCTGATTATAAGTCCCATAAAATGCAAAACAAAGGAATGAAATGGAAGCAAGAGTTTGAAATAGGTTTGGGGGCTGCCCCTTGGAAGGCATGCAAATACCTCAAAGAGCTGGGAGAGTCCATTTTGTGATCCATGGAGAGAGGCCCCACCAACAATGAAAA